TGTTCCAAAGAAAATGTTTCATGCTTTGTTCTAGTACATAATGCAACAACTTAAGACATTTTTCTTCCACTACAGAAATCATTATAATTGATGGAATAAAAGTACAGAATGAATAATACCAATGTCAATTGTAAATGTTAATTCAAACAGTAGTCCCAATAATGACAGGCAGATTTAGAAATGCATATGTCAATACAATCATCAATACTATTCTCATAGTTACCATATGCTTCTATTGATAATAATAATTAAATTTATATTCTGCTTGACTTACATAATATCATCCATCAAACTTTTATATCCATGGACATTGTATCTCAATCTCCATACCTCAAATGATACTCTGTTGCTAAAAAGGAAAAGTAGAGTATACTTGCCTTTTACTGCAGTCATTTATTGTCATAATATCTGGAACATAAAAATAAATACTACAAAAATATTTATAGGATCACAGATAATTTTCATAGGCACCCTTATTTTACAGTGTTATTGGAGAAAGCAAAAGTGACACCGCTCTTGGATGCAAGGGTGCAAAAGTGCAGAATGAAGCAAGATCACGTGATATATATTGAAAATTATTAAAATAACATTTCCCAAAGGGATAGCTATGCTGCAACAACAAAAAAAAAAAAAAAGTCCTGTCAAAGGCTTAGAAAAGATAATAAAGGGAGCAATAGATATTATTGGTTCTCATTTCTCCATTTTTTTACCTAATCCCCCCCCCCCCCCCCCCCCCCCCCAAAAAAAAAAACAAGAGAGAAAAGGAAAAACAAAGTCCTGGATCACTGAATGGCAGGACCAAACAGTTTTATTGCAGAGCAGCTTCTGAGCAGATGCAATCAGTTGCTGCAGTACCATTACACTTTCACAGATCTAAAAGAGGACGTTGCTTCTTCTCTTATCTTTCTAATAGTTACTTCAGTTCCAGACATGTGCCAGTCCCCATGTGATATTAATGACAAAACTTCAACAATATATCCTCACAGAAAACCTTTTAAAACCAAGCATTCCCCTTCCATGTTTTCTTTAAAATAACTTCTATGTCTTTTAAAATGAAAAAAAAAACACCACCACAAGATCTTCATCATAATCATCATCAAGTCACAAAATATTTTAATTTGAACTCCTGTGCTAAGCAGGAACTCACCATTCCTAAATCTACATTTCTATAAATTTACATCTCATCTCCCCTTCTCCTTTCCCCTCCTTTCCTAGCATCTTCCCCCAAATAACACCCCCCAAAAACTTCTTTTTCAGAGATTATGACAGAAATTGACCAATCGACATGTTACCAGAGCCTGATGTTATGGGCTAAGAGACAGTGGGGCCCAAAGTCACCCACTTAGCTTTGGTGCATAAGGCAGGACTAGAACTCTCAGCCTCCTGGTTTCTAGGCTAGCGCCTTCACTACTAGATCAAACTGGCTCTCCTCTCATACTCTTTGCTGGAAGCTGTACTTTCATTATGCACCAATCTCTTGCACATTACCTTAACACTTTGTTAAAATATGACCATATCTAATATTACCATAATTCTAAACATAGTAATAGCAGCAACAGTAGTAACAAGAGCAACAACATCTAACATTTATATACTGCTTTTGTTTCTTGCATTGGGCATGATTTATTTAGTTGAATTCCATACAATACAATAAATCAGAATTATTATCCATCACAGAGCATATTCCATCACTATTATGCTTCAGTTTATGTTTATAAGGTATAAAACTGTGTCATTCTTAACAGAGGAACATTTGCAGACACAGCTGCTCTAAGCAGCATACTATCCAAATGTTGATGATATGGAACCATAAAAGACAAGAAAGGAAGTGAGAAAGTTTAATAGGAACAAATGCCTGTTTGGGTAGCTGAAAAATCTAAAATTTACAGTGAAATAAATGCCCACCCCAGCTTACAAGACACTATAATTAATTTATGTCTTAAGATGTATATGATGACTTGTATCTGAAAGGATGCTAATTACTTTGAACAAAATAATATCACCAATCAAATTATGTGTAATTAAAAAGACAACATTCAATGCTAGAGCCACTTTCAGTTACACTCTCACAGGGAAAGAAGGAAGGAAGGAAGGAAGGAAGGCAGGCAGGCATGCTACATTTCACCTGGGATGATTTCAAAGGTGATATTAAAATTTGATTGATATAATAGATGCCTATTCCCTTAGCCCCTTTGTTTTGGTGGATTACTATTTCCATTATTATCTGGTCCTCAAGGACAATTCTAGAGATTCTTGAATTATATGACAACCATTCTCTGCCATGAACAACTAATTGCTCATACCAGTAAGACAAAGCTGAATTATGGATAGTAGATTATATTGGCAAATGAGCAGGCAAGGCTTTACAAGAATTTGGGGCTCAGGACTCCATAGAAATAATTGCAAGGTAAATATGGACCAGACTTTTCCCCCACTTTGCTGACAGGTGGAAAAATCAAAGGATTATTCAGAAGGAATATTGGCTTCCTTTCTTTTCTTGTATGCAAATATTGACATCACAATAATACCACATGCTCTTAAAAAATAAGAGAGGGGGGGAGGGAGAGAGAGGGAGGGAGAGAGAATGCAGATGTGAAATCTTTTATGAGAGGTTGCACTAAATGAGGAAAAATGGAAATAAAAGTATCTACAAGCTCAGCAGGCTCCTGGAAGAATACAGGGGAAAGAGAATGAGTTTTTAGTTCTGATTATGCTCTATTGTCCAATCAACACATACATTAGTAGACTCATGAAGATCTATTTTAACTGCAGAGCACAATTAGTATATTGGTGTATGAAATCAAAACATTCCTATTCCTCCTCCTAAAGTTGAAAATATATTACAAAACATATTACAAAGAGCATCCCTCATACATAAAGAAGTAGGATAATATTACAATGTTGATATAAAAGTAGTTTTTAACATACACAGTATATGCATTATTTTTAAAGTACTCTTTCCTATGATTTGGTTCAGAATGTCATCTTCTGGCTCTATTAAAAGTGCCACTTAAATTAATGTCTAAAATGCAGTTTTCTGAAAATAATATTTACCTCCAAAGTGAAAATGGAGGGAAAGGATATGAATAGCTTTTCCTGAGTGTTAAACACCCTTTTATACTTATACCTGTTATCTAATCACTGTTGATACTTATACCTGTTATCTAATACTTGTTTGACAAATATATAAATAAAATAAATAAACCCTGTGCTGGTTATAGCTGCACAATTCTTTACTAAATTGTCTTTGCAAATGTCATTGATAGGAAACACACACTTTTAAGTGATGTACAGTAGATAATTATCTTATGAACTAAGTGCATTACCCATTTATGTTCAATCATTATACCTATGGCTAGCTCATCAAAATGTCAATCTCAAAACTCCCTGATATTGGTAGGAGAAAGCTACCCTTTATCATTCTTCCCATGAAGCCATTTCAGCACTTGGAGCTGCGGACAGCAAACCACCTTAACTATTCTGCCAAAGCATATTAAGGGCCATTATAATCCATTATCTTATATAGAACAGACCTTGAAGGATCTCACAAATCACAGGGGGTTTTGTACTCTAGTTCACTAGCATGGATTAGCTCCACTGCCACCACACACACCAATGTATATTAAGGGGGGAAAACGAGAGAAGAAAATGAGTGATGCCTTGAACCAGTACTTTTTCATTCTTTACTCTCAAATTGCATATACATTAGCATGTATGGCCAATAAGCTTATAGGGCTGAGACTATTGTGTATACCCAAAATCCAAGTATGTACCCCAAAGTGCAATTTTAATTATGGTTATGTTTGGCAGCTCCATCCAAAGTAAACAAGACGAGATGCAAACAATACATTGACATTTTTTTCCCCTGAGATTGTATCTTAAAAGTATAGCTAACGTCCAGACCTACTAGCGGTACACGAAAATATTTCTTCATCTCTTTCCTTCACATTTTGGAGCTCCAAAATGCTCCTCTGATTCTCCATTCTCCCTCCCTCCCATAACCAGTACAATAAATTACTCCCTATGGTAAAAGCACACAATTGTGTTTACAGCTGTTTCACGCATAACAGAAACATTGTAGAGATCCAGCACAGACAGCTGAAAGAAAGGAAACTAGGAGTGCAACAAACCCTGCTTTTCATATCTAAGGATCCTATAATCAGGCTTTTCCGAGTTGCGCTATTAAGATTAAAACTCCCAGAGAAGTCCACCCAGAGGAGCAAACCAGAGCTTCTGGGTGAAATGCACATTACAGTGAATGGGGGCTTTGCCCCCCCCTTATGCCATATTGGCGGGGTGGGTGGGTGTTGAAGTAGTCCAGTTATTGCCTCCTCCCCCTCCACTGTCCATTTCTGCGTCAGAAGCAGGTGGGCAGGTAGCAAGGCTGACATTTTCCCAAGGAGAAGGACTCCCTGAACAACCACCCCTTTAAAGGCCTACCCCCCACCTTCTCTGACAACCACCCACCCTCCCTTGGCTACTGAACGAGGCTACTCCTCGGTTTTTCTGCCTCGAGACATCTACCATCCCCGCCCCTCATCCAACCCTCTCTCTAGCTATCCCACCCGCCTTGAACCCTTCTGGAAAGCTCCCTTGCTCAGCCCAGCCTTGGGGTACTGTTCGGGTGGGATGAAAGACCCTCCGGTCTCCTCCTCCTCCTCCCGCCCTCCTCTGACGCCGCTCCTAAGTGTTTTCCAAACAGCCCTCACCCCTCGCTATTCTTTCCATCAATGAGAGCCGCCGCCCCTCCCCTCACCGAGGGCGAGCAACGGCAAGCGCCGCGCAAAAGCTCCCGGACGTTCCCTGCCCTCGCTCCCTCTTACGTCTCCGCAGCCCCGTTGCCGATCCACGACACCCCCCGCGCCCCAGAGGAAGCGTCCCTGGGCGCGCCGTCCGTCCGTCCGTCCGTCCCCCCGAGCGACCCCGTTCAAGCGCACCAGTCAGCAAACACCGGGCGAGATCCGATGAGCCCAGGGCCGAGCCCAGGGCGGGGAACTCACCAAACATCTGAATGTGGCCTTTGGTGATGGGGTTGAAGCTGCCGCAGGCCAGCAAGATAACGTGGGTTTTGGTGGTTTCGGTCATGGTGGCGTCTGCTTGGCTTGGCGCTCCCTCGGAATTCCGCTCGCCCGGCCTCTCCTCTTCTTTTGTGTGTGTGTGTGTGTGTGTCTCACTGTGTCTGCAGAGGCAAGGGAGGCGAAGAGCTCCCAGACGCAAGCAGCGTCATCTCTTTCCCCCCTCCACCCCACACCGCACGCCGCCCAATTTTAACGCCTTCAGCGCCAGGAGGAGTTTACTTAACTCTGGGGCACCTGCGGGGCGTCTCGGCTCTTCAGGGAGATAGTAAAATATCCTCGATTCGCCCCCCAGGATAGTGGAATCCTCAGGGGTGTGGGGGGGGTGTGTGTGGGGGGGAGAAAGACAAATACATACTTACGTTCAAGCCTGACTGGAAGCATAAAAGACAACCCAAAGAAGACAAGCTCCTATATTCTGGTGGAGATAATCCAGAGTAATGATTTACAATACACGCCCGGTCTTGTCTTCATATTCACTAAAGCAGATTATATTTCCCATTTTGATCCTCTTACTTGAATGAAAGTATAATGGGAGGGAGCCATTGCTAATGCTTAGTCTTACAACCTCAATCCTGCAACTTTTCTGTCAAATCCATGTCGTGCTACACTCCCTCGGAGGGAGAAGGAAGGAAGGAAGGAAGGAAGGAAGGGGGTTTAAATCCTGTTTCATTCACGATGGTATTATATACAGCATCCATAATGCCAACTCCAGTGAGGGTGAGGATAAATCACAGCCACAGTCTGCATTTTGTACCTTGCTGCATCTCATCTTAAAAAGAGTGAATAGAGAGCCAAGAGATCACACACAAGCAAGGTCAGATGACAAAGGAAAACAAGAAGCCCCAGTAAGAGAAAAGATCTAAATATGATTCTGCTGTTAAACTATATCAAATACACTGATATGCCGCCATCAATGCCTTTTCTCATTGTACTTATCTACTGATCTGATGAGTTCAGCTTCACTACCTCACTGGTTATTTCACTTCTAAATGTAATAATCTGCAACTACTATTTTCTCCTTGTAGTCTGTGCTAGAGGATAAGTTGGCTAGCTTCTCTGGAGCTTTCCTTTGTCAGAATCAACCAGGCTTACCTTTGCTTAGTTTCTGAAAAGTTAAGGTAGCCCAGGCAAGGTTAACTGGCTATTGTCTCCTATTAACACTTTGATATATGTGCATGTGTGATTGGTGTGTTTTGATTATGTGCCATCAGGTTGCTGCTGACTCATAAGGGCCACTTTAGTAGACCTTCTTCATGATTATATGTTCCCAGTCTGGCCATTCAGTTCTCCCAAGAAGGCATTCATATTTGCTATAATTGAGTCCACCCACTTTGCTGCTGGTTGCCTTCTTTTTCTCTCTACTTCTGACTTTCCCAGCATAATAGACTTCTCAAGAGAACTACGTCTTTGCAAAATGTGGCTAAAATATGATACTTTGAGGCTATGGCTCAAATGAGAACTCTGGACTGATTTGTTCTATGATCCATCTGTTTATTTTCTTGGATATTCACAGTATTCTCAGGAATCTTCTTCAGCATGAAAGTACAAAAGCATTGATACCTTTTCCATTCTTTTTCTACTCCAAAATCCAATTTTTGCTTCCATAGAATATCAATGCTCTAATTTTGTCTTATTCCTCTGTTCAATACTTCCAAAGGTAAAATAAATAGCAATAGTGATTAGGCACATCCTTGACTTGTCCACTTCTATATATCACATGGTTTTGTTAAGTCTCCATTCACAACTATCTGTGCCCCTTTTGAAGTATAAATCAGTTTTATCCATTTAAATCCTCACCAAAATCCACCACCTCCTCCAAAATTTTAAACAAGAAAGTCCAGTTCAGATTGTCAAAAGCCTTTTCTGCATTAAAAAAATCAACAGTTTGTTTTTTTATTGTGTTGTACTATAGCAGAGGTCTTCAAACAGGACAGCTTTAAGACTTGTGGACTTCAACTCCTAGAATTCCTCCTCCAGTCATGTTAGCTTGGGAATTCTGGGAGTTGAAGTCCTTGACAAGTCTTAAACTTGCCAAGTTTGAAGACCCGTATTCTATAGTATTCCAAAATGTCCAATACATTTCTAATATTGTCCCTCACCTGTTCTTAGGTTAAAAACCATCACTGATTTTCATGCATAAAGTCCTGTAAGACAATTGTCACTCTCTTGGCTAAACTCATCATGAATAACTTTTAACTAATATTATGTATCAAGTGGTAATTCTTTTTAATAAAGTCTTGACCTTCTTTAAACATTAATGCTATATTAGCCTTCTTCCAGCCATCTAGTATCTTTTCAGTCTGTAGAATAGAGTTCATCATTTTTGTAGCATTTGTAATAATTCTTCTTCAAATGTTTATAATAAGAGGTTGGTAAACTATTAGATCCAGGCACTTTTCCTATTCATTTATCTTTGGCATTTGTAGTAGACTTTCCAACCTGTCTTAATTCTGTCATTCTCCAGATCTATGGACATAGTTTAGTTACTATTTACTTTGCTGACTCTTCTTTGATTACTTCCCACAGTTCTGTAGCTACCCACTGGAGTGGTGAATCTAAATTCATCTAATCTCCATTTCTGATATTTTACAGATGTCATTATAATACTGTTTTTTTTAAATTAGTAGGTCTCTGGAATACTTTAAGTTTCTTCCTAAGATCTTTGTCTTTCCTGGCTTTGGCTTTCTTTTCTTGGCAATTTCCACCAACTGTTCTGACATTCATTTTGATTTCTTCTGTTTCTTGTCTGTAGCAGTCTCTTTTCATATTCATCCTTGACAAAGTCTTTGATCTCACCCCAACCTTCTTCTGATTCCATATCAATGAAGCTCAGGACTTTAAAGTGATTCCTTATGCATATGCACATAATCATATCATGGAAACCAATTCCCTTTATTCTTCTCATTTAGTTTGACTTAGAACTGATATATGAACAATTTATTATCTGTTCTATAGCCCAGCCACACATTTGCAGTTATAAATGTTTTTATTTCCATGTACCAACGATATGATCAATTTGATTTCAATGTATTCTTTCTAATAATATCTTTGTACACTGGCATCATTTTAGTTATCTGAAGACTATGTTAACACTCAAAAATATCCTGTCAGTTTCAGATTTAATGTGAACTATTAAGCTAGTCTTCTTTCTCTTCTTCATCAATGGTTAGAGCATACACTTGAACAATAGTCATATGTGTATTAAATATACTGAAATAAATGAAACTATATAGGAGGAGAGCTGAAATGAAATTAACATTAGGGTTTAGGATTAATGGGTAGATTAATATGTCTCTTTTCTGAAATTGTAAACAAACTTTATGAAATTAAAAAGGGGGAAAACCATGCAGAATCTGATTTATTTATGCTTTGTAGTTTTAAGGGGATTATTAATTTTAATGTTTTAGGTAATAATATTAAACATTTAATGGGATTTAAAAGGGGTGATAATGAATATGTAACTTAGAGGTGGCGCACTTATATTGATATTTCAGGGGGGAAACCAATTTATAGAAGGAGTGTTTTTAATTATAATTTAAGATGAAATATACAAATGTGACAGTTAAAAGTACTAAAGTATAATGATTATGAAGTTAACATAAGTGAATTAAACAATAAGTATTTGGAATAACACAATAAAATAGAAAATGTATAAAAGCATTGTTAAGAAATTGTATGCAAAAATTGAATATGTAAATACAAATACAAAATACAAATATGGTCATATTTGTATGTATATGTGAAACGTATAATCATGCTGTTCACTAAAAAGAGATGTTAAAATGTGGAAAACTGAATAAAACTTGTTTTTTTTCTTTTTAAATGTCATATTAAAGGTTTGTCTGCAAAATCCAATTGATATTATTCAGCCCTTGATTGCATTATACCCAAATACTGTCTTCCTGATTAAGAAAACACTGTTCCTTTTTGTGTTTGTGCATACATATATGTGTGTGTACATTGTGCATTGTGTTCTAGATGAAAATGTCCAATTCTAGTTTATTTCAAGTCATTGATGCCTAAGATATCAATGTGTACTTTATTCATTTCATCTTCTACTGTATTGTTTTCCCATATTCATGTTTCTTATATTCCATGCTTCTGTTACAATTTTGTCTTTCAGCTTTGAATTTTCATTTCTTGGATGGTAGTATTAGCAATTAGACATCCCAAAGGCATTTATCTAGGCACATCATGAACACTATTAATATTATGAAATATCCTGAATCTTCCTCAGTAGCATCTGATCAAAAGGGCTGATCATCTGGGACTATATCTTCAATCACTTTATCTTATCTATCAATTTTATTTCCTTGGTAAAATATGGGAGTGGTTTACCACTATCTTCCACTGCAACTTATGAAATTATGCCCTTGCTGTTGTTGTTAGTCATAAGCCTTTGGCACCTTACTATATCACTTCTGTTCAATATAGTTGTTTGCTTTTACTGGGCCACTATGATGACCTTTGCTTCTTGTGCGACACTGCTGCAGGTTTATATTCTTGGTAAACACTCCTGGCATTTTTTACTCATCCCTGTCAAATATACTTCCTCCAAATAAAAAAGCACAGCAGAACTGATTGATTGATTGATTAGGTGCCATCATGTCAGTGTTGACTTTTAGTGGCCACCTAGATAGATTTAAGGGAGATATATGTAGTCCAAATATTGGTGTCCAGTGTTTGCTTATATATTGCTTTGAAAAACTTAATTTCCACAGATGGCAGCAATCAAATAATGAATTGATATTTCCCTCCTCCAAGTCCAGCAATCTTTCGTATGCTTTCTCAGAGTAAAATTTCAGAAGCAAAAGCAAGAATGTAGAAACCAACAAAGAGCTGCCATTGTCATCTTTCTCCATCACTGTCACAGCTGTTATTATTTACTTAATGTATACACTATCTGACTTCTAGTGCTATACATACAAACATAATACATATGCATATGTATAGAATATTTCTGGTTTCTGGTTGATTATCCATAAACCAAAAGAGAATATAATAATTTGGAATGCAGATCTCTCTTTAATACCCAATATTTTGTTTAAACATGAATTTATTGTA